GTAATATTTTGTCCAGTTTATTTAGACATATTTAATGGGGACATAAAAACAGAAGTGACTCATTCACATGACCGGAAGCAGCAATCCTGCTTCAAAACAAGTAACATAATGTTCTCATTTGTCCAGATCTGAACCAGCGCAGCTAAATATGAAGCCCAAATGACCTGCTTTCAGACAAGTCCAACTCAAAGACAATTTCATACGCACAGGCACTTATCTGCCAGAACACGCCGTCCCACCCCCACGCTGCAATAAATCATCCGTAATATGTAGATACCTATTTGAAACCCTGTCCTTCTTCCCAGCCCTTCAGGTTGGAGTTGATGCTGGCTGGAGGCAGGCCCGAGTAATGACCCTGAAGCTATTACTAGTGGATATTTATAGCACTCAGGGCCAGCTATGGGGCAGCACTCATGACCACATTGGCTTCATGCATGTGGGCGTCCAGCTACTAGTTGCCAGGTTACCACAGTGCTTCCAGGTACCTGTGTGTCCCCCAGACGCGCATACACACACACACACACAAACACACAGAGAAACACCTTTAGAATTTAGATCTGCTTTCTTTCTGCAGGCTTAAAGCAAAAAAAAAAAAAACAAGCTTTAATTGTTTTTCTTGCTTACCAATGAAAAACTTGACTCGAGTAAGAAAACAATTTCTGTGAATTCAAGCACAGAACACTTCCTAATGAAGTTTTTTTTAACCTTAATTTAGCTTTTAATGCTCTTAAATAGTGAAGTCAAGGGATAAACACAGGTTCTGTGGACCGGTTGTATAAGATCTACACGCCTCTGCACTCCAGGGATGAGCCTAGCGTAAAGGTGCTGAGCTCTAATGAATGCCTTTAATAATGAAAAATGCCGTTTGCGCAATACCACAAGCCCTGCACACGCTGCAACTCTATCCAAACTTCGGCTCCCTTCTCCCACATCAACAAACCTGGAAGCAAGCCCTGGTTCTCCATGGAGGTGTACCACAAACATGGTCTAAAGATTACATTGCACAATTAATCAATACCTTAATGAGATCCCATTTTCTCCACCAAATAGTATCCAGGCCGAAAGTTTCCTCCTCCTTTAGTTTGTTGGATGAAAACTTGCATTATTAAAAGAGAGCAGCCAGCAGGAAATTAAATTAAATTAAGTTTGCATCCTGATAGATTTATTAGACACTCCACATTTTCATTGTGTTGTTGTGCCATCGGAAAGAGAGTGAGGGTCTTGAGGGGGTGCAAGCGTGATTGTGTGGGTGCGTGAAGAGATAGAGCGAGAAAGGAGTGAGCTGTAGATGTCATACGCTTGTGGCTCACTCTTGAATTTACGACTGAAGCACAGCTTCACAGATTACTTGTATTTGGATGGGTTGTAAGTCTGCCAAATGTGCATTGTAAAACAGGGACGAATGTATCTGCGTAGGAGGGATCGAAAAAAGGAATGTGCGTGTGTGTGTGTGTGTGTGTGTGTGTGTGCGTGCGTGCGTGCGTGTGTGTGTGTGCATGTGTGCGTGTGCATGCGTGTGTGCGTGTATGTGGTGGTCATGGATGTATTGGCTTCTGTTTGTATGTATGTGGGTTTTTTTGTTGTTGTTTTTATTTTGAAAGGGTGAATATGTGAGTTGGCTGTCTTTTTTACTCTGTATGCTTATATGAATTTCATGAAATATCAGTGTCATAATTCACCCCAAAATCAATTGGAAAAATAAAAGAAATTATTTTTTTGCGTAAGAAAATCAAGCTTATTTTAGGACCATTAAGATTTTTGATTTGTGACTATTTTATTTAAACGAAATCTGAAAAAAATACATTATTTTAAGCAAAAAAAAATAATTATTATATATATATATATATAACCAGACATTTTGACCCATGCAGTTTCACCGGTATATGCTTGAGAATGTTTTTATGTTTGTCTGGTTTTTACTTACCCCTCTCATGCTGGTTAAGGATTGAGGGCATGGCCTGGTGCTCACCACAGCTGCTTGTGCCATATGGAGATGTAGTGCTGGTGCGTGCTTCCACAAGCTCACGGCCACAGCAGCAGTGCATCCTCAGCTCGCCCTCCCCAACCATGCACCGGTCCAGCACACTCCCTCCATCCACTTGAAAGAGAATAGTACACCAGAACTTGCTCTTAAAATCCTCTCGTGAAGACAGATTTCCTATGCATTTCATTTTTAAATCAAATCTTTTCCTTTTAATCCATCAAAGGTGCTGTTCAAACACCTTGACACATTCACTTTGAATATCAAGTGTGCTGGTTGAAGAGTTCAATCAAAAGTTCTCGCTGTGAATTACAGGGCTGTTTGATTTTCAGTGCTCTGAATTTAGCTTTTGATTTGTTCTGTCGCCCTTTTCCGTCCTGCTGATTTTGTCCCCTCTCTCAGTGGTCACTGTTCAAGGCTTGTTAGTCCCACGCAGAGATTGTCAATTCTCTTTCTAATTGTGATTTGCAGTCCATTCAGTTGTAGTCAGAAGACTGTTTGAGAGAGGAAATGTCAGTCTGAACCTGCCTGGTCATCAGCACTGTAATAGAGGGGTTCAGAGATGTCTAGTATGACACAAGCTTTGTCTGAAACTAAAGCAGCTTCCATCAACGGCTAAACAGGCAGCATTTAGTATGAAGGTACCTTCTAAGGATACTAGTTTTAGACCAGATTTCCAATGCATCATGACGTTTTGGCTCATCTGTGGATTATCTATCCCTCTGAAAATGTTTAGCCTGGGTTTCTCTTATATCGGTGAATTTCCCAAGAAATGTCTGGGTCATAATTCACCCCAAAATCAAAAGAAAAAAAAAAAGAAAATAAAGTCTATATTTGAGGCCATTAATATATTATATTATATTATATTATATTATATTATATTATATTTATGTGTATATTTGGCTAACAATGCTCATTTGTTAATCAGTTAATCAAAATAAATTATAAATGTATACATTTATTTATTAAAATAAAGTTATACGTTTATTTAATAATACATGTATTACTAAATTATATTATTTATTATGATAAAAATAATAAATAATACATAAAAATCATTATTAAAAATATAAATAATAAAAAAAAATAGTTTAAATAAATATACTACTTTCAACTGCTCTAATTTTGAGATTGTGGGATATCATACAGTAGGCAGCGCAGTGTATATTTCATCAGTATGTGTTATCTTCTGACCAGGTGAATGTATTTTAGTAGTAAAGACAGAATGTTTTGCAAATGTTTATTCTTACCTTTGTATATACTGCCTGCTAAGGCAGCATTTATTAGCTTTCGGACATGGCATGATCAGGTGTGGTTGCCATGGTGCTTTCTGTAAAAGTGCCAGCGGCTGTATGAATGTCTTTCTTTGTGTGTATTACCCCATTGAGCATGCAGTACGCATAGATTTTGCGCATGTACGTCGAAGTGTAATGCTGCAGGCCGGGAGGCAGCGCAGAACCGCAGCCCCCAATTCACTCAGCACGTAATGCTCATAAAACTAATAAAAATGCTAATGAAAGGGACAGTTTTCTTCAGTGTTTCAGTGTACGGATTTGGTTTTCGTGTATGCGTTATGTATCTGTGTTTCACATGACATTCAAATGTTGGTGTGCTGGAACGAGTCAGATTTTGTGAGTGAGTGTGTGTGTGTGTGTGTGTGTGTGTGTGATCTCCGTGGTGACAGGGGACTGCTTGTTCTGTGACTGTTTACAACACTTTGTAATCATCGCAATTTATGATTACAGAACAGAATTGTTGTTATTCACTCTGGCTAGATATGCTTTAAACAACGCTTTTATTCATAAGCTGTCAAAATGTATCCAGCGAACACTTGCTGACTTCAAATTGATAGAATTTGTTTATATATATACACCAAGCCCTTACTTTGAGTTGACAACCGTAATGTTACAAAAAAAAACAGGTGCTTTGTAAGCCTCACACAACTCCCTCCTGTGTTCACATGAAGATCCCTGTTTGGGATGATCTGTCCCTGGTTTTATCCTCTCTGTGAATAACTTTGGCACTATGTACCATCAGTAAACAGTTGCGCCACTTTTGCGCACAAACGGTTTTATTCACTAACCGCTCTTGGCTTAACCAGGCGCCGCTTTGTGTATTTAAATTAAATCATTGTCATTCTTTTCAGCACAAACACGCCTTCTTTCTATGTAAATTAGGTTTATTATAGATTACACCTTATTCACAAGACTCAGCGCTATTTGCCTGTGCAATTAATGTTGCGCTTGTTCTGCCTGTGGAAAGCAGACTCTAAGCAATTTTATACAGAATAGTAGACGTTTGTGTGTTTTCTAGCAATAATTCCTCAAATGATGGAGAAGAACAGGCAGTGAATGACATATTTCACTTAATTCTCTATTTCAGTCACTCCATAAATGTGGTCAAGTGGCTAGCTGCTAAATATGCTAACTAGTGATGAACATGCATTAACAATTTTTATTCATTATTTTTATGTGTATGTATGTTGTTGCCCCACACTAACCGCTCTTGGCTTAACCAGGCGCCGCTTTGTGTATTTAAATTAAATCATTGTCATTCTTTTCAGCACAAACACGCCTTCTTTCTATGTAAATTAGGTTTATTATAGATTACACCTTATTCACAAGACTCAGCGCTATTTGCCTGTGCAATTAATGTTGCGCTTGTTCTGCCTGTGGAAAGCAGACTCTAAGCAATTTTATACAGAATAGTAGACGTTTGTGTGTTTTCTAGCAATAATTCCTCAAATGATGGAGAAGAACAGGCAGTGAATGACATATTTCACTTAATTCTCTATTTCAGTCACTCCATAAATGTGGTCAAGTGGCTAGCTGCTAAATATGCTAACTAGTGATGAACATGCATTAACAATTTTTATTCATTATTTTTATGTGTATGTATGTTGTTGCCCCATCTGTTTCCAGGGTACTACTGCTTCTTCAGTCAGACCTTTCTACTCACCACACCTCATCATCTTTTTTTATTTTCCTCTTTCTGTCTCTTGGTCCTGTCCTTTCTCCAGAACCCAGACATTGTCCTGGTCCACTACCTGAATGTGCCAGCTATCGAGGATTGTGGGAAGCCATGTGGGCCCATCCTGTGCTCCATCAATACAGACAAGAAAGAATGGGCCAAATGGACGAAGGAGGAACTCATTGGCCAGCTGAAACCCATGTGTGAGTGTCCAATCATATTCCATCAACTGAATGCATAACCTGTCTCTTCTTATGCATGTTTTAAGTGATCACTGCAAACAGTGTTTCAAGAAATACCATTACCAAACTGCCATTCAAAGGTTTGGGGTCAGTATAATTTAATTTATTAATCTTTTCTTTTTTTGACTTAGATGTTGCATTTATTTAATCAAAAATATTATTATATTATATTATAAAACACAGTGATATTGTGAAATATGTAATACAACTTAAAATAACTCTTTTCTCATTTGATATGTTTTTGTTAAAAACAGTTGTGCACCTTAATATTTTTTTGTGAAAACCATGCTAATTTTTTTTTTCAGGATTCTTTGATGAATAGAAAGATCAAATGAACAGCATTTATTTGAAATAGATTTTTTTAATAATGTAAAAGTATTTCCTGTCATTTCTGATTAATTTAATGCATCCTTGGTGAATAGAAGTATTTATGTAAAAAAAAAAAAAAAGTACTAACCATACTTCATATCTCCATATTACCTATCTTGAAATTGATTTTCACATTTTTAATGTTACATATCTTTATTACATTTTACAGAATAATATTAGATGTAGCAAATTTGCATCTCAGTTAAATCTAATTAAATTTTTTTTCTGGAAAACAAAACAAAGATACTGTGAATGTTTTGCACTCTAGAAAAGGCCTTTGTGAGAAATCAGTGTCCACTGTGGTTCACACTGCCCCAACAATCCCCAACAGCTGTTGGTTCTGGTTAGGGCAGTGTAAACTAGCCTAACGATACTTGACAATGTCTTCTGTAATTTCTGTATTATTTATGCAAGCCCGGTGCTGTTTTAGTTTTGCAATGTTTCATGAGAGGTTAGTCTTTCCCAGCTCAGCCTACTCCAGGCAAATGTTACCTGCTGCAACTTGTGCCCTTGTTCATAGCAGGAGTCTCCATGTGGAAGCCTTGACATGATTATTACCTCACCCACTCCGAGGGTGTCCCAGGGTCAGTGGAGCCTCTTGCCTGCGTCTCACTGTCCAGAGTGATAAAGCACGTTGGTTTCCAGTCAGTCAGTGGAGGAGAGCAGTGATGTATTGATTGATGCCAGTGAGTGGGTGGAAGAGTGTCTGACTCACCAGAAATCCCTTCACACGTCCAGCACCGCTTTGCCCGTGCTTTATGCTTACACTGTGTTTATGTTTTCGTCTACGACAGGTCTAGGTCACAGAACTGACCAGAGGAAACCTGTCTCATGAGGATGTTGTAAAAAAGCGGACGGCGGCGTGCATATAATCATGTTTACCCTGAGTCTTATGAGGACACGTCTCTGTATGTGATGCCTAGCATTGATCATTTGAACTAGGACAGGGCTGTCAAGGTAATGAATATATGAAGTCGGATCCCTCGCGTCAGCACTTTTAGACACAGGATGTCAGCGAGGAGAATACAGACGAGCTCAGCTGACATTGTAATCGCTGCCGCGTGTTACGATCCCCTTAAGAGCTCTCATGGCAATCACTTAAGAGCTCCCTTTCACATTGACTTTAAGACACGTGCAGTAAACTAATGTGTTCATTACACTCCATGCCTGATCTATCCCAAAACCATTTGCCGTAATGCATGCAAGTCATTAACGTTGCAAATGGTGTGGACAATGGCAAAGGTGCGAGATGTCTTCCACCGGTCAGGCCCGGTGCACTGAGACTAGGATAATAAGGCCACAAGATTCACCCTCATAATCTTCAAACAACCATCCGTGATGTGAGCTCATCTGAAGAGCAACAGTACCACCTAGTGGTGGCGCTGCAGACATGCAGCCTGTTGATAGTCGGAGATTCATTGTAAACCTTATTAGCCATGCATAATTCATGGTTGCATTATACATCAGCTCTACAAACCCAATGTGTTCCCTTGAGTGAACCATATCATACGAAAACAGCTTGCATTCATTAACAGGACGAGGTGTGCAGTTGGGATTGAATGCTTTAGGAGCGATGCATTCCTCGACTGACAGTCCTCAGAGAAAGACTTCTGTAACTGTCGATAGGTTGCGGAGAAGTTTCTGTTTCTCCGCTTTAAACATTTTTAATGCATTTGCATCAGATATCTTAGAAATGCATCGGTGTTGAGGTTGTGTCATCACCTGCTTTGCACGAAATAAGCGTTTCGTCATTGCAGTGTGAAATATAGATTAGTTATTTTTGCCTTCAAGCGCTGTTATGCAGGGTGATTTAGAAGTTTTTACAAAGCTTCTGAGATGTATTGTAATTCATCATCAAAGCTTTAAGCTCTCCTGTTATCTAGAAGTCTACCTTATTGCATTATAAGAAACATTTAATAAAATCCTTCATTTTTTCTGACCGTTATCTCATTATTGTACTTAAAAGTAAACAATTCCTTTTTTTCACCAATAACTCTTTGGTTCTTCTTTTATTTAGTTCAACCACTGTCATATAGAGAACACTTTTCACAATCTAATGAATTCTAGATTTGTAGTTGTTAAATATCTATTATCACTTAGAAATACATCATCTTACCCTAGTCAAATAGATTGCAAACGTTGTTTCATGTTGAAGTAGGTGTGTGCAGCAGAGGTCAGATGGCAGGTCATGGAAGGCAACGGTTGCTTAGTCACACTACAGCTGGAAAGAAGAATGCGCCGGCCTGATTCATTCCTCTCCGCTGATGTTATTTAAGAGACCGGGGACCAGCCATGCCTGAAGCCCCCTCACTGCTGCATGAGCAGATGATCAGACAGTGGTTATAAACATACACACACACGCACAGCAGGGTGCGAGATATCTGATGTGATTTATGTTTCCTGGAGATAGGCTGCGATTAAAGATACAAGTTGATGGGTGTGGTTATGAGGTGCTTTGAGCTTGTGGATTGGTGGCGCTGCAGACATGCAGCCTGTTGATAGTCGGAGATTCATTGTAAACCTTATTAGCCATGCATAATTCATGGTTGCATTATACATCAGCTCTACAAACCCAATGTGTTCCCTTGAGTGAACCATATCATACGAAAACAGCTTGCATTCAATAACAGGACGAGGTGTGCAGTTGGGATTGAATGCTTTAGGAGCGATGCATTCCTCGACTGACAGTCCTCAGAGAAAGACTTCTGTAACTGTCGATAGGTTGCGGAGAAGTTTCTGTTTCTCCGCTTTAAACATTTTTAATGCATTTGCATCAGATATCGTAGAAATGAATCAGTGATGAGGTTGCGTCATCACCTGCTTTGCACAAAAGGAGTGTTTCAACATTGTAGTGTGAAATATAGATTAGTTATTTTTGCCTTCAAGCGCTGTTATGCAGGGTGATTTAGAAGTTTTTACAAAGCTTCTGAGATGTATTGTAATTCATCATCAAAGCTTTAAGCTCTCCTGTTATCTAGAAGTCTACCTTATTGCATTATAAGAAACATTTAATAAAATCCTTCATTTTTTCTGACCGTTATCTCATTATTGTACTTAAAAGTAAACAATTCCTTTTTTTCACCAATAACTCTTTGGTTCTTCTTTTATTTAGTTCAACCACTGTCATATAGAGAACACTTTTCACAATCTAATGAATTCTAGATTTGTAGTTGTTAAATATCTATTATCACTTAGAAATACATCATCTTACCCTAGTCAAATAGATTGCAAACGTTGTTTCATGTTGAAGTAGGTGTGTGCAGCAGAGGTCAGATGGCAGGTCATGGAAGGCAACGGTTGCTTAGTCACACTACAGCTGGAAAGAAGAATGCGCCGGCCTGATTCATTCCTCTCCGCTGATGTTATTTAAGAGACCGGGGACCAGCCATGCCTGAAGCCCCCTCACTGCTGCATGAGCAGATGATCAGACAGTGGTTATAAACATACACACACACGCACAGCAGGGTGCGAGATATCTGATGTGATTTATGTTTCCTGGAGATAGGCTGCGATTAAAGATACAAGTTGATGGGTGTGGTTATGAGGTGCTTTGAGCTTGTGGATATGGATGTGGCTGGCGGAGAGAATGTTTGATTTGATTTGTCAGCAGCATTTAATCCAGAAGTTTCAAAGTCTTCCAACGCCCTAAAATTAATAACATATACACAAATGTAATTGTAAACGTAAATACAATTAAGAATAAATGCAATATTAAACAAATATTGTTTAAAAGTTAAATGTACAAAAGAAGTTTCTTTTGTAATTTAATATGCCATTTGTTAAATTTGTCTACATTTTCTATCATATTTTCAATTATACAGATATTTTACTAATCTTAATTACTTAGTTTTAAATGGCCCTGTGGTGTGATAAATCAGTTTTATTATTATTACAAATATTTTATAAAAATGTTTGTTTTGTGTACATGTCACCAAAACGTTGCATTAAAATATGATTTGCAAGCTAGACTATTAACATTCTAAAAAATATTTTGTAATGTTAGATTTTTATATTAACATTCATATTAATATTTTATCTAAATATTTATTAATTACACTTTCCCTTAACAATTGCATTTTTTAAAAATACTTTTAGATGAAAAACAGGACAGCTGAAACGACATGAAATTACACAACTACCCAAATATTTTCTTGAGCACCCAGAGGACACTCTGTGCTCCCCCCGGGGATGTGTGCAGTGCACCCCAGTTTAGGCACGGCTGCACTAAGGAAATATGAATTTCATTCCTCAACAACATTCGGAGATACTCAGACTCTGCGTTTCTGTGTAGTGGAGCAGACACAAGGAACATTGCCAGATGGGCTGTTTGAGCAAAGGACCGATAGTTTGAAGAACTGCATTAGTAACGGCAGGCCACTTTGGACTGAAGTGCGGGAGAATCCCTTCAAGTCTAAATCAGAGGATTCTTCTTCAGATCCTCGCAGTCAACGCCTCCTGCCGATGTCACGGCATATCCACCAAACCAGCTTGGCCTTTCATTACATGACCTGCCTTGTGCTGCGATTCTGGTTCAGGCTCATGCTGTGAGATTGATTTGTCTGTTCAAGCATGGTCATGCTGGTGTAATGGCTTATGGAACGCCGCTGCGATTCTCTGGCCAAACGCGGAATGGCAGAGCTCAGCAGAGCAGAGAAACCTGCTGTGTATGTGACAACTGTTGTGCCTGCTCTGGCTGGTGATGCAGCACTGTTTGCGAGTTCAAGCCAAACGCTTTTGTCTCTTTTATCTATTTTTGTCTCTGTGTCTGTTTCTCCCTTCGCCTCCCTTTTCCTCCCCTCGCTTTCACATGCAATCTCACCTCAGCTTGTTACGCTCACTGAAGTAGCAAAGCGTGCACAAGCCGTATTAAGGTATCTCGATGCTGTTTGATATTCTAAATACCGTTCCTCTCCAGAGATCAGCACATTTCCTTTGTTGCATTTCTTTTTCCTTTTGCCATTTTACCGTTTCAGTTGTTGTTATTGTTCTTTTTCTCAGAGGAGAGAGGCTGAGCTTTGAAACGGTGATGGCAACAGAGGGCGCAAACTGCAAAAAGCACCTTGTCAAAGGGCAGGGGCTTTTACTTCAGCTGAAGTGAGACGAGGAAGACTTTTGCTCTGTGTTTTTCCTCCCACGTCAGCTGAAAATTCACTCTTAACAGGCCCAAATCTGTTCTTGAACTTTCCATGTTCCCGTCCGAGGTCAGAAAGTAGACAAAAAAGAATTACTCTTTTTCTCATTGTACTCTTTTTCTGGACAAAGTGGTTTTGATATGGAGTCTGGCTCTGAGGTAAGGTCAGGGATGTAGTGCACAGGCGGGGTGGGGGAGGGCTGGAAGGCTCGGCTGGTGGGCTGACGACTGTGTCTCCTCTCTCCCTCGGCAGTTCATGGCATCAAGTGGACTTGCAGCAATGGGAACAGCAGCTCTGGCTTCTCTGTGGAGCAGCTGGTGCAGCAGATACTGGACAGCCACCAGACCAAGCCTCCTCCCCGGACTCACAACTGCCTCTGCACTGGCACTCTGGGTAAGGGACAGAAAGGAGGGCTGGGGTGTGGGAATGAGAGGCCATCAGAAAGACACAGGTAGAGACGGAGGGAGCGGGTAGTGCTTTAAATATGTCTGCAAGAACTGTAAAAGATGAGGTGAGTGTAGAGCAGGCTGAAAGCCTAATTAGAGTAGCGTCCAGGCTGAACATTTCACAGAAGTGCTGATTTATTGAGCTGTCTGTTGCAATGACACCACTGGGGGGCGTAATGTTCCTGTGTATCTGTGCAGTCAGTCTTTTTTTACTCAAGCATACAACAAATGAATTTTCACCTTATACTTCATCACAAATATCCAGCACAGCACTTTACAATCCCATGGTGTTGCTCCTATAGGGTGCCGTTACTCTGAAGCAAATTGAATTGCGTGTTTAAAACAAATGATTGTGGGGTAGATGGATTGCCATTTGTTGTATGTTCATATAAAATTCAATTGCCAAGTATGCAGTAAAATGACTAATGCGACACATCAGCCATTTATTAACAAAACGGGAAAGCTATGTGTTGGCTTCTTGTGAAACGATTAATATTGATGATTGATGGTCTCTATAAAGATGTAAATTAATCTCAATGTTCATTCAAAGCATCAGCATCAAAGCATTTTATTCCATTTCAAAGGCATTATGTGGCTCATTCTTTGAAATGCTCTTCTTCTGATGTACAAAGAAAACAGAGACTCTTATAGTGGTGTCATATATAAAACAGTAGTGTAGTTATTATCATGTGCTTTGTATTATTCAAAAATAGTTTCAATGGAATAAATAATAGGAAGGGGGGGGGTATATTGCTGATTGTGTTAATTTAGATACTGTCGTGAATAAGAAAGTTAATAAGAAAAAGTAAATATTGACAATACTAATAATAATGGAATAATGTTAAAACTGCGGAATGTCATTAAGGAGTCATAAATATGAATTATTCTGAATGCAATAGAATGGTTAATGTCCACATTTGCTTTGTGTATGCAATACTAATAATATTGATAAGGAAAAATATTGATGATGACACTAGTGATTCTGTTGATAATTGTAATAATGTTCATTTTTAAGGGGGTAATGCCATTAAGGGGTCAGAGATATTCATTATTCTAATAAATTAGTATAGATAATGATAATAATACATTGTTTTTATTATTAATAAAAAATTATAGTAATAATATTTAGTTTGGAAAATGATTAGCTGTTTTCTGTTTTCTTCTGCAGGTGCTGGGAGCAGTGTGCATCATAAGTGTAACAGCGCCAAACACCGCATTATCTCTCCCAAAGTGGACCCTCGTTCAGGTGGTTACAGCAGAACCCACTCTGAGCTCCAGAATAATGATGTGTCTGAGGGCAAGACAGAACACAGCCACAGCAGCAAAAACAGCGGAGGAACAGGAGGAGGAAGCGTACGTGAAAAACGCAATGGCAAGGTCCATAAACCTGTGCTGCTGCACCAGAACAGCACTGAGGTCTCCTCTACCAATCAGGTGGAAGTGCCAGACACGACCCAGAATTCCCCTGTGTCCATCAGCAGCGGGCTGAATTCTGACCCCGACATGGCTGACAGCCCAGCGGTCACAGGCATGGGCCATGTTGCCTCTGTTATGAGCAGCCTATCCCAGAGTGTCTTCATGTCTGAGGTGACTGGGGATCCCGTCTACAGCATGTCCCCTACTGGAGGCCACAATACCCATATTATGGGCCCCGACGCCACCTCTCACAGTCTGGTCTTAGGAGTCACCTCTGACAGCCACAAGTTTGCTTTTCCAGGAAGCGGCAATGCAGATACAGGTGGTCCCGGAGCAGATGGGCTGTCCATGCTCTCTGCCTCCGGCGTCTCTGACGAGCTTGTCCTCTCCAACAGCCTAGACTCCAGCAGCATCAAAATCCCAGAAGCCACCATGAACTTTGACCCCGACTGCTTCCTGAACAACCCGAAGCAGGGCCAGACATATGGGGGAAGTGGATTAAAGCAGGAGAATGGCACATCCAGTGCCTCATCCTCCTCAACAGTTAGCACCAATGGTTTGCAACGCTCGCCAACTATATCCGATTCAAACTACGGCTTCAGTTCTGCACTGGTAAAGAACATCAAGACCGAGGACACCTCCTTCGAGCAACAGCTTGCCAAAGAAGGGAGATACCAAGTGGGGCCAGTTGTAAGCTGTAGCGTTTCCAGCGGCTCAGGCTCCCAGAACTCACTCACATTGACCCCTGCTTCCTCTCTGCTTCCCTCTGGAGGGGGCCTGAGTCCAAGCACCACCTTGGAGCAGATGGATTTCAGTGCCATCGATGCGAAGCAGGACTACTCCGCCGGTGCCACAGCAGTAAGTTATAGCCATGCATTGAACAACCTAGCTCACCAAAACCGATCTCCAAGCTTTTTTCTTCAAGAAGCACCACAGACAGCCCAGAACCAGCAAGGCCGGCAGAGCTCCAGCCAGAAGGGCCACCTTCTGGAACATAATACCGCTGACGGAGCCTACATGGGTCTGCAGGTTGTAAAGACAGAATCACCTGGCAGTAATGGTCATCTCCACCACCATCACACCCACCAGGGCCAACACAGACCCAACTGCAATGGAGGCTCACCCACCGAGGGACAAGGACAGACTGGCTCACTGCAACTCCTTCAATACCAAGGAGGTTTCCCAGGACTTGGTCCAGAGCATGAGGAAGTGGTCGGCATGGATCAGAACCGCAATGTTGGGTCCGGCCAGTCTGGGGCCACTGAAAATGGGACAGATGGTTTACTAAAGTCTGGGAATCATCTACAAGCCTGCGGAGGAGGAAGCAGAGAGAGCGGAGGAGCAGATCACTTCATGCAGCAGAGCTCTGAGAACAGAGCCGGAGCTGAGGCCGTGGCTTTGAGGAATGGAAACACCACGGGTGGGCCCAACAGCGGCTCGCAACAGCAACTCCAGCCACTGCTTCAGGGAGCTAATTTGGTTCAGGGGCTCTACAACACTCACCACGGGCTTAGTGGGGCTGGAGCCAATGGCAGAGGAGGCACGGGCATGGAAATCAGCTTGGATCATTTTGACATCTCTTTTGGAAACCAGTTTTCTGACCTCATCAACGATTTCATCTCAGTGGACAGCGGAGCCACAGCGGTAGGGGCTGCAGGGACGTTATACACCCACCAGTTGGTGGCCCCGCCTGGGTCGGAAGGAGCGGCCACCTCAGGTGGGAACCAACAGCAAGGTCATGAGGATGCAGCCAACAGGGTGGCAGGATATAGCCCCTCAGAGCTTTGCCTCCAGTCGTGCTGCAGCCCCCAGTCTTTAGGTGGAGGTGCTGGTGCTGGCATAAGGTCAGGAGAGACAGGCTCACTGGCCTACATGCATGTCGCTGAAGTAGTGTCAGCAGCAGTGGCCCAGGGCACTCTGGGAATGTTGCAGGCCACTGGGCGACTTTTCATGGTCACTGACTACTCTCCAGAGTGGTCCTACCCAGAGGTATGTCTGTTTGAATGAAATGCTGTACATTGTACATGCTGTACAAGTTTTCCTCCATTACAATTACATACTCAAATAGGCTACTACTATTACTACTAATTATTATTATTATTTATACATTTTTACTTATGTAAAATTATTTTTTAAATATCTTAAAGCAGCACTATGTAACTTTTTCTGTGTTCAAAATTAGCAAAATGTATATAATGAGCGAGTACATCATGAATTCATCTTCCAAACCGCGTTTTTGTCTTATTCCGAATCACTACGGTACACTTATAATACGTACTTATATTTGGACTATTGTAGCCTGGTCGGGTCGTCACCGCTGCGGAGTAACACATAACTGCGTGAATCGCCATAGACATAAACTTAGAGAAGTAGCTCAGGTTGGAATGTTCTTCCGCGGGATGTAGAGCGCCAAAAGTTACATAGTGCTGCTTTAATGTATGTATGCCAATGTTTGTCATCCAAACATCTCCAGTGCTGTTGCATTATTTCACCACAAGATGGCAGAATACCCTTGGAAACACATTTAAAACGCAATTGATGTTGAAGTCTTGTTGTCTTCCACAAGATGGCATTATAGCATGTGTTTATTCTCCTTTCAAACGCTACCTTTATACCAAAATATTTTAATAATTATTATGTGTGATAAACATGATGATGATGATGCTACTTGTCCTGCTGAGGGAATTTTTTTGAGTATACATATGTTATGTGAGAATTTTTTCCTCCATATTTCAGGGTGGTGTGAAGGTTTTAATCACAGGGCCATGGCAAGAAGACAGCAGCAGCTACACTTGCCTGTTTGATCAGATCTCTGTCCCTGCCTCCCTGATTCAGCCTGGAGTTTTACGTTGCTACTGTCCCGGTAATTTCACATTTATACATACAGATGTGACTGACTAATTAATATATCTCCTTTAAGAGGTACATATTTTTTAATGTGATTGTAAAAAGAATATAAAAAGAATAATGTGTTCAATACTTCAAATAAACATTAAAAAGTAAATATTTTCCTAGATTGCAAAGAATTTCTGTAAGTCTTCAGACATCACCCCTTATAAGGCGGAGAACTGCATGAACTCTCATAGGTGTCAGTGTGATTTCCTCTGATCTTCTCTAATTACGGGGTTGTGTGTGTCTGCAGCCCATGACACAGGCTTGGTGACTCTGCAGGTGGCTGTCAGTAATCAAATCATCTCTAACTCGGTTGTGTTTGAGTATAAAGCCCGTGCACTGCCCTCCCTACCTTCATCCCAGCATGACTGGCTGTCACTTGACGGTAGGTCTTCCTTTCTGTCTTTTTCTGCATTTGTGAGAGAAAAATATATATATATATATCACTTTACTAAATCTGGAACCCATCATGTGACCGCTGATTATTGAGCTACTTGAAGTAGGTGATTATATAACGGTGCCTTGGCCCAAGGCTTTTCTAATTATCCCACATTCAGTATTAACCAATTAGAAGCACATCTGATTGAAAAAAAGAGTATGTCATGAAGCCAGAGATAGAGAGAGTGAGTGTGTAATAACAAATTTGGATTGAGGAAGGGTAAGATGCAGTTTAAAATGTCCATGTGCAAGGTTTGCTGCTTTACAGTTGACCTCTAGATGGGGATAGAGGGCATGTTTAGCAAAGAAAGCAGAGTTCCCTTTCATGGGAACTTCGAACTGCGTCCTCTAGGGGTCGCTATGGGGAACGCCTCGTCGTGACCCGTGTCTGAAGCATACATTGAAAAAAAACACCAACTCGTTGGCCGGCGACAGCCATGACGTCACTACCGGTGCGACTATAGTATAAATAGGCGCCGGGAGCACACATCATTCTCTTCTTCGTCTTCATTGACTGTTTTGTTTGAAGCGTGCATTTCTGTGGTAAAAGCGATCTCTATTCATCTCATTATGGCGAGCACTAGCAAAGCGTTTAAGGATGTGTGCGTCCGTGTTGACGTTGTTTAACATCTGATGACACACACGATCTATGCGTTATTTGTTTGGGCGAAGAGTACGCACACGATGCCTCCGAGGGGGCAATCGGCGTGCACTGCGAACTTTTTTTCCAAGGGAAAAGCTCCACTCTCGTTTGTCTCTCTTTTCGAGGAAAGAGGGGCAGCCATCTGCTTCCCGCGATTCAGGACCCGCCGCTGCTGAGGCACGGAAGGGAATAAGCTCGTGGGGATCGCAGGTGGATCTGGCCAATGAGTTTGAAGTCTGTTGAGACAGTTCCTTCAGCACATGCAAAGAGAAACGTGCGTTAGCCCCTGTGTGACAGGCCAGGACTTGGTCGTATTCCCTTAAAGGAATCTATTCCTGATTCCAAGCCTTTTGCTGATTCCCAGGCCCGAGCTCTACGCCCGGACCAGGAATCTGTTTGGGGTATGTAGCCTAGGCCTTTGGCCGTAGGGAATAACGTCACTGGTAGCCGTCTAACGTCCCAGGGGCAACTCCCATAGCAATATGGTAGAGTTGGTACTTAGTGCTCGCCATGGTTCTGGCTTGCACTCCCCTCAGCATGGCGGCGTGGGTATACCGTTCCCCATAGCGACCCCTAGAGGACGCAGTTCGAAGTTCCCATGAAAGGGAACGTCTCAGGTTACTTATGTAACCATGGTTCCCTGAGTAGGGAACGAGACACTGCGTCCTCTAGGTTTCTTGCCATGCTGCGGACAGAAGCGTCAGACGAAGAAGTGAATGATGTGTGCGCCCGGCGCCTATTTATACTATAGTCGCACCGTTAGTGACGTCATGGCTGTCGCCGGCCAACGAGTTGGTGTTTTTTTTTCAATGTATGCTTCAGACACGGGTCACGACGAGGCGTTCCCCATAGCGACCCCTAGAGGATGCAGTGTCTCGTTCCCTACTCAGGGAACCATGGTTACATAAGTAACCTGAGACGTTCTGTTGAAATCTGAGCAATCAACACCAGTGCTAAATATGTATTTGAGGTCAACAAGCAAAGGTAAAGAGTGTTATTCAGAGCTAAAGGGAGTGCAGACCACCCTGTAATCAGATATAATTTCAGTTTAAGGGCTTTAAGAAGTATGAGCTTTTGATGCTTTTTTTGCTCTTTGTGCTTTAATCTGAGGCATGGCAGGCACAAAGGAGAGATGGAGGCAGTCATTTATATAAGTGGTTAGTACTTTGGGGTCAAGGGGAAGGGCAGTCTGGAAATAGTACACTGACGACTTTGATGAGCTTTTCGTGACATAAGACAAACTGATTGCTCCACATCTGACTTGACTTTGTATCTCTGTATTTATACAGAGGTTTTGGGGTGTTTTTTGCACAAAAATGCGTAATTTTATTCTATAAGATTTTATCAACATTAACCTTGCAATAAGGTTGTTAAAAATTGTTAAATTAGATGGGACAAAAAGAAAGACATGTGACCAAGATCCACCATTAAATACTTCTACTGTACTGTTTCAACTTGCTTTATGCACACATCGGTGAACTTTACAAAATGTCCTTTAGCTGTCCCAGTCTGTTAGTGTTAACTTAAATGCAAGGGTTTAAGTCTAATCATACCATCGCTGTGGAGGATTTGCCCTCTTTAAAGCCTGGCAAACCAAATACAATCCCACACACATGATTCAGCGCATACCAGGCTGCCTCAAACTGAGGCTGTGGCGTCAAAGAGCTTATGAAAATATTGGAGCATATGGGCAAAGTGATACACCTGCCAATTTGACGTCCGAAGCTCTAATCTGCTTGCTCCGATCAGGTGATAGGAGGTTTAGCCAAGACAAACAATCTCGATGAATGGTTGGACAGCGAGGAGTGGCGGCCAGCGTTCAGATACAGCATGTGTTTGACAAGCCTGATGTTTGGAGAGCAGAAGCCTAAGCCAAACCAGTAGAAATAATCACGCATTACAGTAAGAGGGACACATGCGCTTACACCAACAGATGCACTTACTGTATATCACTGCACATATCTATTAAACGGCTGATTTCTGTGTGTATTTAATCTGGGAGGTGTGTGCGCGTGTTATAAGGACAGGCTAAGTGCTCTGTCTCCTATGAGTCTGAGTAAAGAGAGTGCCAGTGACTGTGTGTGGTGCTGTTTGTCTGTGGAGGTGGTGGTGGGGGTGTTGTTACTGCAGTGTGCATTGACAGGGTAAAGTAGGGCATGGTGGAGGAGCCTGTGGAAAGGGACAGCTGCAATGCAGACAGCCCTGAAGGCAGAGAAAGGGAGCAACAGAGGACCGAGGCCCCTCTCAGAACCCCGTTTCCATTCAGCACAAAACCAGTCCATTCACATCTCACAGACAGCACAGGCAACCATGCACTTGTGAATCTAGACTTAGACAACTGTGTATAAAAAACAAACACATATACATATACATATATATATATATATATATATATATATATATATATATATGTCATATATCTACACACACACACACACATATCCCAAATCTACAGTATGTATTATGTAGTTTGACGGTATATGTAGTTTGACTCATATTTTGATGATTATACCCCATAAAAACATACATTGCCAATAGGTTTGTGATAGAGCATTCTGTTTTAAATATGAGTGCATATATGATATACATCTTTTTTAAAAAATGTGTACA